ACACTATTTTGGACCTAGAATAGAATGGATTCAAAGGATTGATATGGTTTACTAAATAGGTGTTTCTTCCCATCTGTCTACCCCTTGGTGGGAAGAGTTACCCATGTTGGTGGGAGGTAGTAGGTATCTGGTAAAACTAACTCGGTATTGAGCAATGTTGATTTATTAAGTGTTCAACTATGTTGACCTGAATATAGTGGAATGGGTACATAAAATTTGTATAGTCGACCAAAACTAATCTGGGATTGAGTGTAGTTGATTTGTTGTGTGATCTACGATTTTGGACCCGACTATATAGGAAATGGTTGCTATATGATGATTCAAATAGTCGACCCAAATTAATTGTGATTGAGTATAGTTGATTTATTGCATGCCATACTGCTTGTGTCCTGACTTGTAGATAATAAGGTTTTTGTTCCACCTTCAAAATCTTGTTATATATCATCCTTGATTATTATAGGCAAATGAAGTTAAGAAACACTTACAGACCGTTTTCACTAGAAGTGTGTTTCTCTTTATTCGAGAAGCGCTAGTTTTAAAGAATTGCTAATTTGCATAGTAACAACATATGTTGACGCCTTGACGGAATGGGTATGGATGATTCTTACAACTGACTTATTTAGTTTGACACTGAGGTAGAGTTGATTGATTGATAGATAGAGAGAAATGAGGGGTTCGGGTTGGGGCTTTGAAGCTGGTTTATGTGTGGTTGTTTTGGAAAAATTATTTTACTTACATCTATTGTATGGACAAGAGTGGGTTGCTCTAGTGGTGAGCACCCTCCACTTCCAACCAAGAGGTTGTGAGTTCGAGTCACCCCAAGAGCAAGGTGGGGTGTTCTTGGAGGGAGGGAGCCGAGGGTCTAATGGAAACAGCCTCTCTACCCCAGAGTAGGGATAAGGTCTGCGTACATACTACCCTCCCCAGACCCCACTAGTGGGATTATACTGGGTTGTTGTTGTTGTTGTATTGTATGGATTTTGCGCTAATGAAGTTAGACAAAACTAGAAATCCTGTGGATGTCACAGGATAGTGTTTTTTTTCTCTTTCCTGAGAACCTGTAAGTTTAAAGAATTTGATGGAATGGATATTGGTAATACATATAGCCGACTCCATTCAGTCTGAGGTTGTGGTTGACTTGATTTTTTTTTTTTTTTTTTTTTTTGGGGGGGGGGGGGGTATGCAGATGTGAAGTTGGACCTTTTATGAAGGAAGAAATGTAGATTCCTTAGGGGTTGTTTGAGTACTAGGATAAGGATACTAATCCCTGTATAAAATTGGAGAAGGGATAAACTTTAGACCAAAATTTTGGTATTAGCTATCCCATATAGGATGTGCGTTAGTAATCCCGGGATTACAATCCCGGAATGTCCATTGCTTGCTTTTGTTGCATAATTGCAATCAGTTAGTCCTAGAGTCTTTCTTTTGGCTAGATCTTCTCAAACTCTTATTTAAATTATTCTGTGAGGTAGCTTTTTGTAATTTTGGGCTGTCCATAGATATGATTTCAGTTTGGTGTTTATTGGTCACATTATGAGATTGACTTTTGATTTTCTGTCTCTGTGAAGGTATGAGCTCGGAAGACAGCCTGCAAATACAAAGCTGGTGACTAATGCTAAGACTGTTAGGAGGATAAGGGTCCGAGGAGGCAATGTGAAGTGGCGTGCTTTGAGGTTGGACACTGGAAACTTCTCTTGGGGCAGTGAGGCTGTTACTAGGAAGACCCGTTTATTGGATGTGGTGTACAACGCCTCAAATAATGAGTTGGTTAGGACACAGACTCTAGTGAAGAGTGCAATTGTTCAAGTTGATGCAGCTCCATTTAAGCAGTGGTATCTCCAGCACTATGGAGTTGATATTGGTCGCAAGAAGAAGAGTGCTACCAAGAAGGAAGGAGAGGTATTTGCTTAAGCTTTTCTTGTTTTACATGGGCTCTTTTAATTCATGATGAACCACTTCTGCTGATTTGATAATCAATTTTATGATGCTACGGAGTATTTTCTAACTTCAAGTTCAATATTGACACACTTAATCATAATAGGTTCTGCTTGAGCCTCTGTTATCTTTTAACTGTTGTATGTGCTGTATGTGGTGCCTCTTATGCAAATGGAAACAGATAATTGTTTGTGGTAAAGAAAATTCCTTAAACTTCTTCCCCTTCTTTTGCGAAGAAAAGAATGTCTTTTCCAAATGTCTTTTCTGGTGGATTTTGTCTTAATATGTGTTTAGGTGGTCTATTAATTTGGTTGCCACCTAAAAATTGCACTAAACGAGTGCATCATATGATGGTTTCTATTCATTGGTTCACAGGAGGCTGAGGCTGCTCCAGCTGCAGAGGAGAAGAAAAGTAACCATGTCCAAAGGAAGCTGCAAAAGCGTCAACAGGATCGTAAGATTGACCCACATGTTGAAGAGCAATTTGCTAGTGGCCGTCTATTGGCTGCAATCTCGTCACGACCTGGCCAATGTGGCCGTGCTGATGGGTATGAGTTTTCTTCTCTATTAGCTTTGATCTTTTGTTGAAAACTGTCTAGCTCAACTTTGTAATCTCTTCATTTCACTTTACCAAACTGCTAAGCAAGGTTTTTTTACTTAATGTTGTTACAAGCACATTTAAATGACAGAAGTTCTTTTTTGATTGTTCACATTTAAATGACATAGCAGTCCAATATTGTGGCTAAGTTCTCTGGAATGTGTTGACTTTTTTTGTTAACTATGAAAACTTGTAGCAGTTCAAACTCTTTGAATTTGAGTTCTAGTTTTTGCTTTAGTTTTCTTTGGTTATGAGAGTGAAAGTTGCATCGTTTTTTGCTTTTCATATGGCTAAACTTGATTCAGAGTATGATCTGAATTGATGCTCTTTTCCTGTTTGATCTGTATTTAACTATTTGTCATTCTCTTACATTTCTCATTTAACTTTGACAGTTACATCTTGGAGGGTAAGGAACTGGAGTTTTACATGAAGAAGCTACAGAAAAAGAAAGGGAAGGGTGCAAGTGGCGCTGCTTAAGAGTTATAACTGATTTCTGTTATATCATCCAAAGCTTCGAATTATATTGCCTGTGTTATTTACTATTGATAGAATGGATATTAAGAACCAATTTAGCTGCTAGAGTTAGATCAGCCCATCTCTTTGCAATGTGATGTCACATAATTTTGAGGACAGAATTCATCTTACTGTTTTCGTCTAAGGATGTCGTCAAGGTAGTCTTATCATTCAGCTTTCAGGTTTTATATTGCTTGAAATTTTGCATATTATGGTTGCTTGCGACAGAGAGACTTCAGAAATTAGGTTTTTACACTCTTCATAAGGTGGGTAAAGTTAAATCCCCGTGCAGCGCACATGCATTCATGAGTTTGGCAATCCAAAGTGCTATGGAGCTTGAATTGTTGAAGTGCTGTTGCATCATAACATATTATAACACCACCAATTTGAGAAATGCAAATTCGGTAAATTATAATATATGACAATTAAAATGAGTGGCATGGTTCACTTGTTGGTTTTTTTTTTCTTTTTTGTTAAATAAATTTTGTAATTGTTTTTTATAGCAGTTTTAAGTAAAGTTGGATGATAAGATGACCAAGAACTTAGTATCAGAATGTGCATGACAGGACATAAAGTCGCCTATATATGCAGAAATCCATCACCCAAACAATGTATTGTGACTTCAGTCGAAAGCCTGGAGCTCATCTATGTCCCAATCATATATATAAGCACTTTTATTATTGCTTACGTAATTGGAGGAAAAGGGAAAAAACATAAGAGTAGTATTTTTGATTTAGATTATTAAATATACAAAAGATTAGCAATGTGATCAAGACTTTGATTCAGCATACATATTGATTGGTAATTGCGCGTCATAAGTTCGAATTCTACTAAAGCAAGATTTAGAGCCTGTTTGGATGGGCTTAAAAGCTGGTTAGTTTTTAACTTGTGGAAGTGTTTGGCAACAAAAAAATGGACTTAAAAAAAGTTAAAATCTGCTTAAAAAAAGTCAAAACCAATAAGTTGGAAAACCCAACTTTTTCTAAATTGGCTTAAAAGCCATATTGCTTTGACCAATGATATTACATTCTTATCCCTTATAATTCTTCTTAATCCCGAAATTACCCCTAAGTAAAAACTCTACAACATACTATTTTATTCCCATTCTCCAATATTTGTCAATTTCTTGAAGTTCTTAACGTGAAGCAAACAATAGTTTTTTGGTCGTTGAATCCTTCCTTTTTTTTAATTGGTGCAACTATATTCTAAAATCAAATCATTTAATGAATTTACGCGTTACCCCTGAATTTGAAGTTATGAACGGAAAATATAATATTATGGTCATCATCTTCTTTATAATGTTAACAACTTTAAGGATATTTCAGTCATTTTAACAAGAAAAAGTGTTTACCAGCACTTGTTTACCAAACACTTCATCAGCTTGTTTTAAGTTTCAGCACTTTTATCAAAACACGTAACTGCTTATTTATAAAACAAGTTTCAGCACTTATAAAATACTTTTAAGTACTTAACTTAAAAGCCAAACGGGTCCTTAGTTACCGCTATATATATTGAAGAGCCTAAATTAGAAGAGAGTCGTTTCGAGTAAAAAGCGATTTTAATACAAAATGATATGGATTTACTATGGTTATCAAAGTAAAGTATATACTCTATTAATTAACTAAGATCTAGTACTAAAAATGTACGTGTGATACATATCTTGGTAAAAGGTCAGACCATTTATCTACCAAATTTTAAAGGTATGTATAATCTTACTAGCAAAAGAGAAAAGAGCAAATGTAATTTTGCATTTAGAGTAAAAGACAACAAAGGTACAACAACGGAAAATAAAAAGTTTGACACTTGTGTAGTTGTGCATGATATTTCGTCCTATTGCAACGTGTCAACTGTTCCGGCGAGCACCGCAAATTTGTTCTACCTCTTAGTTTCTTCAGCAGCAGCAATTATATATATCTTCTTTTAACATGCAATAAATACTGTGTAATTAAAGGGACAGAGGAAAACTCAAATAGGAGATGGGAAAAATGGCACTGTTCGATTTTGTGATGGATTTTGGGAATAGCAGTCGTGAGCAAGTTGTTCCAATGACAGTTTTCGTGGCAATTTTGTGCCTATGTTTAGTGATTGGTCATTTACTTGAAGAAAATCGTTGGGTTAACGAGTCCATCACCGCCATTATCATTGTACATTCTTCTTCCTCTTCTTTCATTCTATATTATGTATGGACACAAAATTGGATATACTTTAAGACGTTAATTTGATTTATATTCGAGTGGTGGTATGAAACTTTACATTTAAGAGTTGAATAGTCAAATAACTTTGGCTGAAGGGAGTCGTGAAGGGAGTCGTGGAGCAATGGTGAAATTGTCTCCTTATGATTTATAGGTCACGATTCGAGAGCCGTGGAATTAGCTACTAAGTATGTCACGCCTCTTGGGTGCGGTGTTGTATTCTCGTGACTTTAACCTAAAGTCACGAGTTCGAGCCGTGGAAATAGCACTAACACAATAAGTTGTCTACATCACACCTACCTGGGATGCGGTCCTTTCCGGACTCTGCCTGAATGCCCGATGCACAAAGCATCGGGCTGCCCTGTCCTATTACTCTTTTCGTTCCAATTGATGTGATTTCTTTACTTTTTAGTCAGTTCCAAAAGTTTCTAAATTTGGATACAATGTAACTTAAAGTTTTCATTTTTATTGACAAGCTTTATATTATGGTCATGTTTTAAGATCACAAATTTTTATATTGATGGTACTAATATATTACTCTCTTTTCGTCTTCTTGAGCCGAGGGTTTTTCAGAAATAACCTTCGTACTCTCCATACTCTCCAGGTTAGGGATGGTCTGAGTACACTCTACCCTCCCTGGACCCACTGGGTCTGGAAACTCACTGGGTTGTTGTTGTTGTTGTTGTTGTTTAAGATCGCAAGTTTTAAAAGTCTTCTTTCTTTCTTTAGTCTAGTAGTTCAATGGAGTGAATGATACTCCATGGAGATAATGGGGAGTGAGTCTTAGGTGATTTCTTCCCTTTGCCTAATTGACAATATTACGCGATTCCTGTGCTGGTGGGAGATAGTATAGTATGTAGCCAGTGGAATATTTGAGCTACGCGGAAGCTAACTTGGACACCATCTTTAAAACGAATATTAAAAGTTAATAATAATGTTAGCGAATTAGTGTTATTGGCACGGAGGGAATACTCCTTAGTCATATTCAACTAGGAGTCAATAGCAAATGGTGGTTCATTTACACATATCATTTTGAGGTAAACAGAATCAAACATAGTAAAAAACTGCATTGCTCCTTTTGATAGTTTCTCAGAATTATTTTATCTCTGATTTTTTTAATATTAGTTTACGGAATTATTTGCTTAGTTGTTGACTGGCTCTCGAGTGTAACAATCTTCTCCTCTGGTTCATAGGGTTGCATATCAGGGACAATAATACTTTTCATAAGCAAAGGAAAAAGTTCTCACATACTTAGATTTAATGAAGAGGTGTTCTTCATTTATTTACTTCCACCAATAATATTTAATGCAGGGTAAGAAGCTTTTTGTTAAATTATATTTCCATAAATCTCAAGCATTTTACATTTTAAAATGACATGTTGTCTGTTCATATCTTATCCAGATTCCAGGTGAAGAAGAAGCAGTTCTTCCACAACTTCTTAACGATTATGTCGTTTGGAGTTATTGGAGTTTTCATATCATCAAGTATTATCACAGCTGGTAATCTGTCATTCCTGGGCTTCTGATTTTGTCCCCTAATTTTTTCTTAAAAAGGTGGTGTCCAGGCTAGGCTAGCCTGTCCTTGTTCTGGGGCGGAGCTAGCATGCGAGATATGGGTTCGGCCATATTCAATAGCTTTGATCCAACCCTTGTAGTTGTCCTAAAAAATCCATTATAAATGTACAAATTATTAATTTATTATCCAATAACTTAAACGGAATACATTTTTGTATCCATAAAATTCAAATTCTGACTCCGCTTTTTAGCTTGTCCGCACCTCAACTTCCACCGGTGCCTGTAACTTCTCACCAGCACAGGTACTGGGTAACTAAGAAATAATCTAGTGTTTTTGTTCATTGGGATTTGAATCTGAGACGGCATGGTTCTCCATCAATTCATTGACCACTAGGCTATACCCTTAGGTGCTAAAAAATAATAACACAATTTCTTGTTTGTCTTTTATCTAGTTCTTTAATTTACATTCATCTTCTATCGGTATAGGTAGCTGGTGGCTGTTTCCCAAGTTAAATTTCGATGGATTGAGTGTTCGCGACTACCTTGGTTTGGTCCTTTTTCTAGTTGAATTTCCACGCTTGCTTTTTCATTATTGATAGCAGCTATTTCACTGAGATATTAATATGTGTAACTGCTATGGTAAAGGTATTGGAGCAATATTTTCGTCGACGGATACTGTTTGTACGTTGCAGGTTAGTAATAATGGCATTTGAGGCCATTTGTCCTGTTTCATTGAAGTCAGCTAATTATATCTGTGCTGCTGCAAAATTCATGTGTAGGTTCTTCATCAAGACGAGACTCCGTTACTATACAGCCTTGTCTTTGGGGAAGGAGTAGTGAATGATGCTACATCAGTTGTTCTCTTCAATGCAGTGCAAAAGCTTGATGTTGATAGATTCAACGGCTGGTCGGCTGTCCATATCTTTCTAGATTTTCTGTACCTCTTCTCCACAAGCACTGCTCTTGGAGTTGCTGTCAGTTTTAAACTCTTTTGATCCCGTACTAAGTGGTAGAAATAGGGTTTAACTATTTCCTATTGAATTAAGGATTCAGTATGCGAAACTTACTCTTGTCCTTTCTATCTATTGAGGAGAGGAAAGCCATACCTTTCCATGGCAAAAACTTGGAAAAAAATGAAAATACTGTTTAAGTTGCGTTTAAAATATAGGATGGTGTAATTGATGAATTATTGTCGTCTAAGCAAATATACTACAAATTCACTATTAAGATGCCTATTTCATCCAGCATAAGATTGAGCTCAGTTTCAAGTTTAACAAACTTTTTGTGTTTCTCTGAGGATAATGAAAATCAAATACTATATTATTTTGGTTGATGATTGATGTCTTTCACATGATATTTTTACTCTTGATTAGTGAATCCTTTAGTAAGTTTATCCACCCAAATGCATAGTTCTTTATCTAAAATGTGTTTCGCTCCTTGGAAGTTGGAACACGTGCCACGAGCAAATAGCCTTACTGAGTATGTCCAATTCTTTTTGCAGGCTGGACTTCTAACATCGTACATTCTGAAGGGCTTATACTTTGGAAGGTAAAATATTTGTTTGGTGTTTCTGTCGGCATATATAAAAGCTTGGATTCTACGTCATCCTATAAATTCTAAATGTAAATGATATGCAAAATCAAGAGTTAGCTGTTTATATCTTTGCAGGCATTCTTCCGTTCGTGAAATATCTCTCATGCTTTTGATGGCATATCTGTCCTACATGTTGGCTGAGGTATAGCAATTTCTTGCACTCAATTTTCAATTTTGCTGTAGTCTGTCAACTTCGTCACAACCCNAGCACGTTTTCTACGTAAGGTGTGATCTAAGTCATGGTATGTTATTCAATCTTTGTGGGCAAAGCAAGCGTCTAAGAGTTGCTGATCTGTTCCTTTGCATGTTTATTTTCATATTTTCAGTTCCCGTGTAAAATTCATATTTTATAAGTTTTCTCATGGTATTTACAGCGTGATTATGTTGTTTAAAGCTTTTCAGCCTCAGTGGGATTTTGACCGTCTTCTTTTCCGGAATTTTGATGTCTCACTATGCATGGCATAATGTGACTGATAGTTCAAGAATCACTACGAGGTATGCAATGAAGGTGTCATTTATATATTTTCTACCATGTCGAGGTTATCGTGTAATGCACTTGTAAAAAAGTATGATTATGTACTGAGATGCTGCATAATTTTGGAGCGCAGGCATGCATTTGAAGCTATGTCTTTCATTGCTGAAACGTTCATATTTTTATACGTGGGGATGGACGCACTGGACATTGAGAAGTGGAAAATGAGCAAACAAAGGTGAGATATCCCCTCAATTTTTAAGTCATTCAGCTATTATGCGTTTATATTAGGGGTTATCAATTCATCTTTGAACTTGGGTTGCGGCATCTTTGAAACTGTGAAGGTTTCTCAACTCGTTTACGATGCTTACATCCAATAGCTATTTCACTAATGCATAACTTCTTGTGACCTTCAATTTATTGGGATAGCTGATAAAGACATAAAATGTTTCTAGAAAGTGAGTGGATTATCAAATTGGTGACTTGAATAAAGATGTTGGATACCATTCCGTTTGCCTACGTTCATTTCAGTTGTATACTTGGGTTCGCTTCTGAATGTTTAACTACTACTTATTCATGCTGGCAGTGTTTGGACTTCAATGGGAATATATGGCACCGTGCTCATATTGATAGCTGTCGGGCGTGCTGCTTTTGTGTTCCCTCTCTCTGCTCTTTCCAATTTCATGAACCGAAATGCTACAAGAGCACCCTCAATATCGTTCGAGCATCAGGTCTCATTCAAGTTATTACTCGAAATAATAATGTTGTTAACATGCGCGCTTATGTTGTGTGCTATTTATTATCAGATAGTAATTTGGTGGGCTGGTCTTATGAGAGGCGCTGTCTCTATTGCCTTGGCATTCAAGCAGGTACTTTAGCGTACATACGGATCTTAGTTTTGTTAATGAAGTGGATCGAGTATCTTCGAATATGTCTGATTAATTTTGAACCTATAAACTTTTAATGCAGTTCACTTACTCTGGTGTTGCAGTTGACCCAGTACATGCCGTAATGGTTACCACTACAATAATCGTTGTGCTCTTCAGTACACTAGTAAGTTTATGCCAATCGGATAAGATAAAGAACATTGACTTCAGATATGGAAAAATCTATTATTTTTGGTTGTTGATATTTGTGGTTCTTAGAGGTGGCAAAATTAACTCATCTCGCAACATCCCACGCAACCCATCCAAGCTTAAATGGGTTTGGGTTAATACTCGTTTATTGACGTGACCTGACGGGTTGAACCCGAAACAGCCCTTCATCGAACTATTGGGTAAAAGCACGTCAAAATGCAACACAAACCCAAATATACAAAATCGAATTTGGAGATCCCGAAATATGTAAATTTGGAAGTACTTTAGCTAATCATTTAAGAAATATACATTAGTTTTCACATTTTCCAAAAAGAAAAAGAAAAAGGGAAATGAGGTCGGTTATGTTGGGTGAGTTAAGTTATGACCAGCTATTTGACCCATCTTGGGCCAACTCATATTGCCTCAAGCAAACTTTGGGTTGGTCGGGTCATGAATCACTCGCTAGCCCATTGTTTTACATTATATCTTGTAACCAAAAATAAATAACATATGCTAACCAACAATTAGTTTTTGAGCGGCCCTTTGTCCCTTCTTCACTCTCCAGTCCTTCATGTAAAACTCAACAAAAACTAATCTCTGCCTCCTAAAATGTGGAATCTAAATGTTAAGACTCGCAAGCAGTTGGCGAACTAAAAATCCAAATAGGTTTTTCTCTGAAGGGGTAAAAGTTTGCTCCTTTCAACGTTTGTGAGAAACTCTTTTCTCTGTTCAGTTCGTTGTTGGTTTTTTCTTCTCCTCTTTTTATTGAGGTATTTTTTCAATTTCGCTAGTTGAATAAGTAGTCTTTCTTTGTTTTTCATGGGTCCCTGTCGTTTTTTTTACTAGATTAATGACATATCTACGTATTTTGTACTTAATTCTTTGGGTTTGGCTCATGATATGGTGGTTTCTTATCTTGGCCATGTGGGTTTTGAATAAAAGAAAGTTTGTGTTTGGTCTGTTGGTTGTGCTTGAACTTGGGTGTTACGAACAATGATGGTAAGGAAATATTTTTTAAATCTGGAAATGAAATAAATTTTATGTTTTAAATTGGGATTAATTCGTCTTTTGAAATGTTTTTGTTCCGAAAATATTCTTTCTTTTAAATCTCCAAACAAAGGAAAGCATTTCACTATCAATACCTAACATAGAAAAATCAAAGGACCTAGAAATCTTCCTCATGGGCGAATGTTGATCACTATCAACACCTACAAATCTCTCTCTCTTTTTTTTGCTCACTGAAAATGACCCAAAGAATAAAACATTCTCATGGTTAAAATTGTATAATCAATGTATATATATTGTATAGTTAGTGTATACTTTATAAAAACTCAAAGTGTATATAGATACATAAATTATACAAAAGAAATACTAAATATGAATTTATTGTACATGAGATAAACTAATTATACATATCATATACAAAGACCTTTAGAATCCATAGAAGATAGCAACAATAACCACCTGCACAAATGCACTTCACCCTTCACTTCTTCACAACACATAAATTCATCCCAAAAGAATCATGGAGTTCCAACCTAGAATCACTGAGTTCCAACCTCCAAAATGGCTACCAAAATACCATTAAACGGCCAACAACATTTACATTGTATAAATAATGTATATAAATTGTATAACCGTACATATACACCTATTATATAACATATATACATTTGGGATGTTGCTGCAAAGAAGTCGGGGCCATGAATATACACTAACGATACATTAGGGATACACTAAAATATAGAGGATACACTTTATATACAAAATTTATACAACGTAATAATATATATACAAATTTTATACATTTTATAACAGTTTATATATAATTTTTATAATATACACTGAAAAATACAGGATACACTTTATATACAAAATTTATACAACGTAATAATATATATACAAATTTTATACATTTTATAACAGTTTATATATAATTTTTATAATATACACTGAAAAATACAGGATACACTTTATATACAAAATTTATACAATGTAATAGTGTATATAGAATTTTTATACATTGTAAAACAGTCTGTATACAATTTTCATAATAACATTATTATATATAATGTAATTATATACATATAACAGTGCATATACAACTTTTATACACTGTGTATATAAAAATTTTATATGAAATTACATTGTATCTTCCAAACACCATTAAAATTTTAACTCACCACCAATCAAAGGATCTGTATTTATAAAATATCACCCGATAAAGAAGATGATGAAGAAGAAGTAATCACATAAACAAAAATAAGAAGAACAAGCAAGCATTTGTACATATTAAGAAGAAGAAGCAAAATTATTGCGTTTCTCCATTTTTTTTTAAGTAGAAACTCAAAATTAGAAAATGAATCAATAAGAAAAGAAATGAATATAAGGAAGGGGGATGATGCTAAATGAATTGAGCTAGTGGAAAAATGCATGTCCAGATTTATACAAGCATCTTTGTAAAAGTCACTTGTTAACTACTAAGTAACAATATATATATATATATNATGGGGAAGACGTAGAAAGAGAAAGTACATCGGGAAGGGAACTATACCTTGGGTAGAGAAAAATCAGGCGGGGGAGGGGGGTTCAAGAGGAGAAAAATCTATGCAATGAGAAAAGTGGTTACAATTTATCAATAAATTGGGCCTAAAGGCTATTCCGGATGCATGTGGGAAAACATAGGCTAATAAAATTTTCTCTATTAATTTGACCGTTTTAACTTGCAATTTGCCACCTCTCGTGGTACTTGTAGAAATTGAAATCTAGTACTTCCTTTATTTGCTTTGAGTATATAAAAGAACTCATTGCTTCCATTGCAGGTTTTTGGCTTCTTAACAAAACCACTTATTAACTATCTACTTCCACATCATGACCATACAAGGAGGAGTATAGACAGAGAACCAACTATCTCAAAAGATAGGCTTCCTTTGCTTTCATTTGAAGAATCTGCCACAACTAACCTTTTACGTGCGAAAGATAGCTTGTCGATGCTGTTTGAGAGACCTGTATATACAATACATTCCTATTGGAGGAGGTTCGATGACACTTACATGAGGCCAATATTTGGTGGGGCGCGTAGAAATGAGTCCTCGGGGTCGGGATAGAAGCTAAGCTAAGCCGCAGTCGGTGACAAACCTTAGTCGTTTGCTGAGGAAGTGACAGTAAGGGATGATACCCTCATTGGCGATTTGACATTCTAACACCTAATCTGAGGTTCTGTGCTCAAGGTGTGCACTTATTTTGACAAGTTAATCTAAGTTTGGGAATTTGGAGCTCTTGTTTTCTCAACTCTTTTTCATGAAGTGGAAAAAGGGAAGGTAAATTTGCATGGGAAGAAATTTTAAGTAGGACTAGGAGGATTTTCTCTCTTTATAAAAGCTATCTTAGGGGAAAATGTCTATTAACCTTGTCTTTGTAATTGTTTATGTGTTTGTTTTGTGAATGATGTATGCCGTTTTAGATGAGGAACATTATATTTTGGTTTATTTTCGTAAAAACATAGTTTCTTGAAGATATTATTCTGCTCTTTTTTCCAAAATCTTACTATATATTTAGACAGATACGTGTATCGAATTTTTTTCATCTTTTGTTGGCCTGCTCTATGGTGTCAAATTAACCAAAAATAGTATATAATCGCACATTAAGAGGGTCGCGTATTGTCTAAGTTAATCAAAGAGAAGGACTATGATTCATGATAAATTCGGCTTATGAAAAAATTTAAGAATTTTATTTAGCCAAATTTCTAATGTACCAAAAATAAATGACGAGTCATCTTGGACAATATCCAAATTTATCCATCAATAGCTTTAGCAAATTGAATTACAAGAAAAATCTCCCAAGAACTCTATTTTCTTTGTTTGATATTTATGTATATTATTTTCTGCACAAATTTGGCACACTTTTTCTTTATTGGATTTTTTTTTCTGATTTGGTTTTTGGTCTTGTAGTCAAACAAAATTGTAAGACAAGGAACAAACAAATGAAAGAAATGGTTTTGAGTATGTTTAGCTCCAATTAAACACAAAATTTTACTTGAACTAGATCATGTTTAGGGGTTTACATGGGTCGGGTTGGTTCGGATTTTTCAATTATCAAACCAAACCAATGGTGTCGGGTTTTAAATTTATAAACTAAACCAAACCAATAAAGTCGGGTTTTTCAATCTCGGGTTTCTCGGGTATTTCGTTTTTTTTAGGGTTATTTCCCGGTAAAGTCTTAATAGCACAAAATATGTAACTTATGCTCCAAATATTTATTTTAGTCATAATAGGATACAACTATATAATGTATTTTCCAAGAAAATAAAATAATAATATGAGATGAGTCATAACATTGTACTAAAATATTCAATAACATAGATAATAAAATCACACAAAGAAAATATTACTAATTAATACACCATAATAAAAATTAACATAATCTAAAAATACTATATATGTCGTGCTAAAATAAGTACAACTAATAAATATTAATTACACAACTAAGCATAAAAAAAGATGGGAAAAGGGCCTAAAATGCCCCTTTACTATATGAAATAGGACAGGCTAGCCCTCTGTTAAAAGTTGGTCTCTATTCTGCCCTTGCCGTCAACAAATGGGCTCGTATATGCCCTTCATAACTAATGGGAGACTCATAAAGCCTCGTGGAATATATACGAGGGCAAGTTAGACCTAGTTCGAATTGTACAGGGGCATATATGAGTCAGTTATAATAGTCATTTCTCAAACACTTCACAACTCCACATCAGTTTACTTAGACACATATTTGACAACACCAAACTAATTATCATAGCAAATAAACTCAGTCATAGACACAACAAATGAACGGCAATGACATCATTAAATCCTTGTACAAAAACATAATGCTTCATTTCATAATAAAAGACAACAATTAAGCCACAATAACACTAACATTACATATCATTTTCCATGGATCCAGAGAACATAACAAAACATCCCAATATCACACACATGAAAATTTATATCTTCTTCCGAAATTTAGCATCAAGCACAACTGAGTACTCTAAATCGGTCACTTTCTTCATTAGAACATTTCTTTCCTATTCCAAGGCTTTTATTCCTCCATGATCGACGAGCATCATAACATTCTCAAGATCAAACTTTCCTTTGGAGAGCATTTATTTCACGGATTAGAGCTTCTTTTTCCTTCTTTAAACTGCATATGAGATTTGAAACTCTAGGAGGAAGCTCTTCATCTTGCCATTCCCAAATATTTTTATCCAAAAAACCAAAAATAAATAAAATAAATTTACAAGCAAATCGGAATAATTAAAAGAACCCATCAAAAAAATTACTTACCTCATGCTTCGGGCATTTGAAAAACCTTCTTCCAGCATTTAAATGAGTCCATGCCATGAAATAATTGACAGCAAGTCCGCAACGACACCTCCTATTCGACCCCTTTGAGCTACTAAAATATTCCGGGTCTTTTGTTATGATTCGACCCCTTTGAGCTACTAGAATATTCCGGGTCTTTTGTTATGATTCGACCCCTTTGAGCTACTAGAATATTCCGGGTCTTTTGTTATGATTCCACCACTTTGAGCTACTAGGATTTAATGAAGTCATTGTTGTTCATTTGAATGTTTGTGTCTATGACATAGTTTATTTGTTGTGATAATTAGTTTGATGTTGTCAATTAAGTGTATAAGTAAACTAATATGGAGTTGTGAAGTGTTTGAGAAATGACTATTATAACCGACTCATATATGTCCATGTACAATTCGAACTAGGTCTAACTTGCCCTCACATATATTCCACGTGGCTTTATGAGTCTCCCGTTAGTGATGGAGGGCATATATGAGCCCATTTGTTGACAGTAAGGGCAGAATAGAGACCAACTTTTAACGGAGGGCTAGGCTGTCCCATTTCATATAGTAAAGGGGCATTTTAGACCCTTTTCCGAAAAAAGATAAACTAGGTTATATATTCTCATTATAAATCAATGCAAAACTAAAAAATAGATATCCAACACTATTGTCATTTATAGTGTTTAATTAAATTTTCTTTATTAGTATTAGTATTGATTTGAACTTTATTTGACTTACTACCTTTATGGGCTATAAAATTTATTGGACCATTCAAAAATGTTAAGTCCAAACTTTAAACAATCTTTTAAAGATAGAATTGTGAACAAGTTTAAGAAATATTTATAAATTATATTACAATAAATATTTATATGCATAAAATATTTTTAAAAATTGTATAAATGTAATGTCGGGTTGGTTTGATTTCGGTTTGACTTCTTTTAGTTAAAACCAAACCAAACCAATTATGGTCGGGTTTTTTTTCCAACACTAAACCAAATCAAACCAAATCACAATCGGTTTTTTTTTTTCCTCGGTTTGACTCAAATTATCGAGTTGGTGCGGTTTATCGATTTTCTTTGTACACCCCTAATCATGATACATCTATTAACTTAACATATTTTAAAATATGTTCATTTAACTTAGTTCAACCATTTGGATAGAGGGATAGACAGTAAAAATCAATCAGCTTCTAATATTTATACCAATTCTAAAATATATATATATTTATACTAATATTGACATAATGTTTACACACTTATATTATAACTAGTATCTATGAACGTGCGTTGCACGTTAATGATGGCACGTGGTGATTTAAATATTTATTTAAATGAAGCAATAATAAAATTTAATTAATGAGAGAAATTTTATGTATAATAATACAACAATCGTCTAAATGCCAAAAATATTATTATATTAGCATAATACATGAATTTAAAATAAAAGGACATCATCAAAACTTACACTAATGATCAATTTTATGATCAATTTTGTCATGTTAGTTGGATAATTATGTATTAGTTTAAAAATATTTAATATGATGGTATCTTAACGAACACTTCTTTGTGGACAATATTTTTTTGTGTATGTTTCCTCCTAATGCTTGGTTGCTCTGCCTTAGGTTTCATACTTGTTGTCGATATTGATATTCCTCTTGAAAGTGCAACATATAGTTGTTTGTGCAAGAAAACATATTGCGATAAATATAGTCTAATATTTAGGATGTTTGTCCTCGTGCTTTATTTATTATAATTGAAAAATATAAAATAGTCCAATATTTAGGATGTTTGTTCTTGTGCTTTATTTATTATATTTGCAAAACATAAACATACTAAAAATTATTTTCACACAAATTTAAAAGGATATTCCTTAGTTTCGAAAGACGAAAGTTGAATTTAGGGATAAGAATATACTTAGAAGTACATTGACCAGTATCATAATTTTTGCATGTATGACATTATTGTCAAAACTTCTATATACCATCTATGTGCTATTACATAAGGTATTCGGCGTATCTAAGTTTTTCAGTAGCATGACAGGCATATTTTTCTTCAAAATCAAGTTATATACAATGGAATATCAATTTTAACTTGGTCTATTATATAAACAGTGACACTAACATACGTAAAAAATAATAAACTTGACAACAAACATGTATGGTGGAAGGCCATTTAGTATTAAAGTATTTATGGGAAGTTCATTAGGGGATATGGCCTTATTAGTAGACCACTCACTGACTTACTCAAGAAGGATGGTTTTTAATGGAATGCTAAGGCTGCAGATGCATTTGCAGCATTGAAGTTAGCTCTTACTTCTGCTCCAGTGTTAGCATTACCTAACTATACACTTTCATTTGTAGTTGAAACATATGCTAGTGGAACAGGCATTGGTGTTGTTCTTATGCAAGATGACCACCCTATAGCTTTCATTAGCAAAGGGTTAGCTCCTAGACATATGGCTTTGTCTGTGTATGAAAAGGAGGTGTTGGCTTTGGTGTTTGCAATTACCAAATGGTCTCACTATCTTTTAGGTCAACATTTTATTATGAAGACCGATCAAAAAGCCCTTAAGTACCTCTTGGAGCAGAAGTTACATACTGACTTGCAGATTAGATGGTTGGCTAAATTGTTACCCTTTGACTTTGAATCTAGTATAAGAAGGGCAAGAAGAATGTGGATGCTGATTCTTTGTCAAAAATGTCAGGAGCTGAGCTAATGACCTTAATGGTTTCTTCTGTACAAGCAGATCTTTGGGTGAAATTCAAAACAGTTGGTTTATCGACCTTGAGTTACACAGCCTCATCAACTCCTTACAAACCAAACCACAGAAACACTTCACTTGGGTAAACAATCAGCTTAGGAGGAAGGGTAAATTGATGGTAGGAAATGATTTGGGCCTAAGGACTAAGCCTTTGCAGCCGTGGCATTCATCCCCATCTGGTGGCCACTCTGGCATTGATATAACCACTAGACAATTGATGGCTTACTTTTATTGGAAGGGCATCAGAACTGATATCCTCAGCTATGTGCGCAATTGTTCTGTGTGTCAAAGGAACAAGTATGATACTTCTGCCTCAGCTGGTTTATTGCAACCTTTGCCTCTCCCTACAGTTC